CCAGCCTGACCTTGAACATTTCCAGGGATGGGGCAGCCACAGCTTCTCTGGGCGACCTGTGCCAGGGACTCACCACCCTCACAGTAAATAATTTTTTCCTAATATCTAATCTAAACCTGCCCTCTATCAGTTTGAAGTCATCCCCCTTGTCCTGTCACTACGCGCTCTTGTAAAAAGTCCCTCTCCATCTTCCTTGTGTGCTGCTGAACAGTTTGTCGGACCGTGGTTAGGCTGGTGACACAGTTCATCTGAACACCGACTTCAGGCCTTGCCCATGGTGTGGGACCTCTTCAGAAGATGGTGTTATGGGGCACCTTGGGTGCTTTGTTGGCAGTGACAGCCAGACTGGGTGGGAGGGGACAGTGATGCCACTAGAGCTGCATCTCCCCGAACAAAGTAGGCCAAGCTTCCTGTCAGCACAGCTGTGATGACACCATGGAACTCTGTAGTAATTTACTGGCATCTCATAGGAAATCTGTGTTCTTTGCAGCTTAAACAGTCTTATTCCCTTTCACACAGATTTGAGAGAAGGTGTAGTGACCCTGCTTAATGTGGTCAAACAGCACTCGACAAGCCTCATGCTTTCCACCTCTCACATGAAGTGTTAATTTATAACACTTCTAAGGCTGCTGAAGACAAGTGAGTGTCCTTTAGACTCTGTCAGCGCATCAATATTTAATATGTCTGCTTAAATTAAACTCCAGTCAAACTACGGGCTGTTCTCCTCACCTTTTTTTGCCCTTCAATCATTAATAGACATTTTCCACAAGCAAGTTAACAAAACACCTAAGATGACAATGGACTTTGCACATATTAGCCCGACCCTTTCATTCCAGAGTCTCTCCTCCTACGCAGATTGTGTAAGGACTGCAAATATACGGAAGGATGCTCCGCAGCCTGGACCACAGGTTACAGAACAGTAGCTGATCAAATATTTAGGATTGGTTTATGTTTTGAGATTTTTGCTCCGCTGTACCTTCTTTTAAAGATAAACAAACAAATATAGCCCCTCTTTACCCAGGATAATAATTCCTTTTGTTCAGATTTGAGGTGTTCAGCTGTGTTCCTTGATAGGAAGGACGCCTTCTAAGACAGCTGTAAGAATTCCCTCAAAATTTCCTCTGTACCTTCAGGAGCTGCTGCTGCACTATCTGCAAAGTAGAGAACATTCCTAGATCATCTGTATGCTGATACAGCTGTGAGTGACCCAGAACTGCACATCCTGCAACCATGGTGTACCAAAAATAAGGTAAATTTTTAACTGGGTGCTGCTCTCATCCCTGGTCATGCTACATGCGTACTTTTATCCTTTGGATTCTTAAACCCCAGAGGCTGGGGGAGAAAGGAACTGTTATAGGAACTGTTCAGTGTTTTACTTCATTTTCTGTTTTAAAGTGAAGACTTAAGAATTCTTCTGGTGATGTGTGGGACAAAAGCGTAGTTATGAACAGTGCAACTGTGGCACTGTTACAATTTACTTGCCTTTGAAGGCCCTGCAGGAAGGTTTCTGAAGGGAAGAAATGAGAAGATTAATCAGTGATCTGAAATCTAAGCCAAATGGCAGTTGCCAAAATACTGTAGGCCAAGTGAACAGAAACCTAGGGTTGAACGGAGCTGTGTTGCTTGTTATGAAACCAGGGGCAAAGGAGACATGGAGGAAGGACTCTCCTCCAACTTTTTGTTTCTGTGGCTTATTTTCACAGTTCTGTCTCTTGCCAGCAAGGTTGACCTCTCAAAATTATGGTATGCACGTGACTGGCATATTCATATTAAAACCAGGTTTAATTAAAAGCAGAGGAGAGAAGTTAGAGCAAAGCAATTAGGATCAATATGTATTCATTTAAAGTGCATTTTTATTCTCAAGTGGGGTTTTTTGTTCAGGTCCAGAGCTGCCTGTCATGTAAACTCAGTTTGGTTTGCACCTGACTGGGCCTGCTCCCTGTGCATAGAGATCCAACATATGTCAATGTACTCTGTCAGTGATGTGCCTTAACTCTTCAGGACATCTCTGTACAGATAAACCATGGTGAACTTGTGAATACACTAATATTTTTCAGATGCTCATAGCCAATTTTGCTAGTGAACTTTTTAATTTTAGCCCACAACATTGTGTTTTAAGCTTCTGTATCAAGCAGTATAATGGGATCTGGAGCTTTGTATGCACTTGCATGCAAAGAAGTTTTGTACTGAAGTGTAGGAAACAGCACATTTTGGATGTGTACTTCAGAATTGTTGTTTCCCAGCCATTTCTTGTGTGGCTGTGGAAAGATTTCAGTTCAGCCTTTTGATTTCAGCCTGTCCTAGAGCCCAAGGAGTGATCAAAGTCAGCAGAGGCTGTTTACTATCTAAGCAGCTGTCTTCAGTCATTTGTTTCAGCAACCCAGTGCATGTGTGTTCCCAAAATGCTATGTTCTCCCAAAGAAACCTCTGCCAGTAGCAAGCTAGCCTAGCTTTTCCTAATATCTAAGGCAGTTATCTGTGGATGGGGTTTAAGCCCACTCACCTCTTTTAGTTGCCTAATGTATATGCAGAACAGTTCATTCCCTTTGCTTTGCAGTAACCTCTTACGGTTCTTGAAGAATGTTATCATGTTCCCCCTCTGCCTTCTGTCTAGGTTAAATGCCATTTATTTCAGTTCTGCTCCCTGGAACAGTTTTCTAGAGTTCTCAGAGTTCCTGTTCTCTTTTCTTCTCCCCCCCCCCCCCTTCAGCTGGCTGCCCTTTCTGACATGAGATACGCAACACTGAGATACGTAATTGCCAGCTGAGATGTCTTACAAGTGAGTCTTGAACTTGTGTCGTTCTTCCGTCAGTCCTTCCAGTAGCAAGTATTAACTTTAATATTTACAGGAACACTGTGAGGTGTGGATCTAGACACTTTCAAAGATACTTGAAATTCATGAACCTGTAAATATTGCATGGAGAAGTAAGTCTAAACTGTAGGTCTGAATGAGGAGCTATGCCATACCTGTAGGAACTGCAGAGGCTGTGAACATCTGAGATTGCATCAGTATTTCAGGTCTAGCAGTATTTCAGCTCTCTGAATTTCACTCGAGTCTGGGAATGTTTATATTTCCACCTGCAATGTGTCGGTATCTGAGCTCTAATTGGGTAGAGGTAGCAGCACAGCTGCCATGCTGAACACGCTGTGGGTAGAGCTTGCTGAGTGTTCAGTCAGCCTCTGCATCAGACTTTGCAGTCTGGGGGGTGAAAGTCGCAGGTGGCTGAAATTGAGCGAGTTGACAACTACCTTGCCATATGTCTGACAGCGCTGTAGGTGCCATGCACACTGATCTGGGCAAGGGTTTGGATGAGACGTCCTCTAAAGGCAGTGGATGCGCTGACCCACGGGTGAGTGGTCTCTCCCCCGAGCTGGCAGGCTGGGGTTGCAGTGCTGCACGTGGGCTGCATCGCTGTCTGCACCGCAAGTTTGCGGCCTTAAGGCATCGGTGGCGGCGGGGAGGCAGCGCCCATCCCCGTCCTGCGGCTCTGCTGCCTTTGGTCGCCGCGGCTGTGCCCGGGGCAGCCCGGTGCTGCGGTGCCGCCCGAGCCTCGGCGCTGGGGGGGCGACTGCCCGGAGCGAGGATGGCGGTAGGGGGGTCGCTGTGCCTGGGGGCCAGGCCCTCGCCGAGGGTGGCGGTGGGGCCGGGCTGGGGCAGCCTGCGGGCGGGACACCGCGGGCAGTGGGGGCGGCTCCCGCCCGGGCCGGGCTGGGCACGACCCTCGGCCGGGGATCCGCGTCCGCCTTGCCCCGGAGAGCGCGGGGCGGGGGGAGGCGGCGGGGCCGGGGTCTGCCCGCGGAGCAGGAGCGGGATCGGGCTCGAAACTGGGCTCAAGGAAGGGTCCGCGACCGAGGTGAGTGCGAGCGGAGCGGCCGTCCCCGGAGGGGCGGGGGTCGGGGCCGCCCCCCCGCCCCGGGGCTGCGGGCGGAGGCGGTGGCGGCCCCCGGCGGCTCCTCCCCCGCCCGAGTTACAACCGGTTCGTGCCGGCCGAGGCCCGCCCGCCGCGCCGGGATGCGGGGCTGCCCCGGCTCCCGGGGGCGGCTCCTGCCCTCCGCCCCACGGGCCGCCCGCCCGCAGGTAACGGGGGCGCGGGGTTCGGGTGGGGGCAGCGAGGGATCCGGGCGGCGCTCAGACGGAGCCCCCGCAGGGGCTGCCGCCACCCGGCCTGGCCCGGCTCTGCCCTCCGGAGGGAGCTGCCCCGGGGGCCGGGGCGGGCCGGTGTCCCCGAGGGGGCTCCGCGCAGTCTCCGCAGCTCCTGGATTCGGGAAAGGGGCGGGCGCGGGACGTGCCACCGTCCTTGGCTCCCGCCGGGACGGCCGCATCCCCTGCCGTGCCCATCGACGTCCTCCCCGCCGTGCCGGCCGCGGGCACCCCGCGCTGTGGATGCCCCCCGGTGTCCCCTGTTGTCATCCGGCGGGCACTGGGCGCTGTGTGGCATCACCACCTGCCGCGGGCACATGGCAGCGGCGCTTGTGGCCACCGGTGCGTGCCCATCCCGGGCGCCCTTTGGCATCTGGGAAGCTGCGGCTGCCCGGGAGCGGGGCGGTGTGCCACGGTCTGTCTCGCCCTGTGTGTGGCATCGGGGCGGCGAGGGCGACCTTCAGTCACCTCGTGGTGCGCGTCACTGCGCGGATGAGCGATTGCCGTCGAAACTGGAGGTAGAAGGGCGTCAATGTGTAACGCTGTGCTCCGGAGCGGGGCTGTGGGCTGGCCCCCGAGGGCGTGGGGAGAGGCCAGGCAAGCCGGAGGCTATAAGAGGCCATCCATCCCCACAGAGGACCTGGCCAAGGGGCACGGAGCGGTTGAGGGAGCGGCTGCCGACGGCAGCCCTCGCAGGTTGTGATGCGTGAGGCGATGCACACCGGGCTCTCGTTCTTCAGAGGAGATCTCCTCTGGTAAACCGTGGTGGCTCGTGGTTTATAGCAGCGCCGGCTCTCGTCTGTCTGAATGGATGCGTTCTAGTGTCCGACAGGCAGGTATACTTGCGGGGGGGTTTTCCATCCCCTCTGGGGCAGTGAGGCTCTGGGAACAGGTAGGACTGGTTCTGCTGAGCTGACAGATATGTACAAAGTTGACGGGTTTATGTGCTGCCCCATAGATACTTCTTTATGTGAACTGATTTTGCACAATAGAGAAACATTATTACGTCGTTGGTAAGTTTTGTTCTGGTATTTTGTTTTGTTTTAAACTTCATGCTTCTTCCCTTATCAGGCAGAAATGGAAGGAAACGTTGATGAGCCTCTTGCTTATCTTTCAAAAGTGCAAGTAGAGAAGTGTGAGAAATAGGTAGACTTGAATGCTGAGAACTTGAAGGGAAATATAGATGTACTCAATGTGAAAGAACTTAAATACTTAAACATGGGAAGCTACTGTAGTTAGAGTATCAAAGTCTGATGCCATCAAAGTACAGATGCATCTTTCTCTGTGAATTTAATACAATGCTGTCACATCAGTATATGTGCAGGTGTGTGGATATGATGAGTATGTTATGCTAAAAACAACCAAATGGTATCATGGCCACTCTCATGCTTTCGGTGTTACTTGCAAGCTGAGGAGAAACTTCAAATGATAGTGGTAAGAACTTGCCTGAAAAACTAAATAGAAATTCACAAGAAATCTGATTCAGCTCAAAAAGAGTACTGGCTGGTACTGTCTTGATTTGTACCAGTGCCTTGCAAAACTGGACTAGCCAAGTGTTAATCATGCAGTGTTTCTGCTGACACTGGCTTTCTTTGCAGCCATGTGCTGCTCACAGAAAGCAGCACACTTACCCAGGCTCTGGTTGCACAAATAGCAAACTGGGAACAATCACATTGCTACTGTCTTTCTCAAGATTCCCTTTGCCACAGATTAATACAAGTTTCTGTGCTGAGGGCTAATGTTTCAGTTGTACTCGTGTTCTTTTTTTGTTGCTCATCTGTCATCTTTAAGCCAAATTTTAAGATTTATAGAAAGAGAGCTCATTATTGTGATAATGCTGCTCAGAGAAAAGCAAACAGTTGCAGCCAGACACCTCTCCCTTTCCACATTAAAATTGTTGTTCAGTTTGTTCTCTAGGGTTTCTTTTTGTGGTGGTTGGTAAAGGCTTTCATCAAGCAGCTCTCTTCCTCTGATTCTTATTCGCAGTGAGTACAACTCACTGAAAAGCTTTTTCTGACCAAACTTCAAGTTGCTGTTTAATTCTTTATGCTTCATGTCTCCATTTCAGTATTTTTAATGTAATGAGGTTTCCTGGAGTCTTGACACAGTATCCCTAGGTTTTGTGAATGGGAAGGTTTGTGAAATTGTTCCCACCTGAATCTTAAACTCATGATTGTTTGTCTATTTCCAGGATCACACGAGTCTTCCTAGTTGGCTCTGAGATAAAACAAAACTATTGAGCTCTCTCTACTGTGTGGGCTTCTGCTTCTTTATTTTTGGTGGTCACATTTATCTGCACAGTCTGTGTCCTTCTTCTGCACAGACAGAAAATAGAGGCGCTTTGGATCCCTCCCAAGTTGATGCACAGATTCAGTGCCTATGCAAGCAGTGTTGGGAGTAGCAAAGGTTTAATTCCCTCTGTCAGTTCTTGTCCCTGCTACTAAGCTATTATAGTATAACCTGTCATTTTCAGAGAAGCATTAATCAATGTACCGATAGAAAGTGGATTGATATTCGCCGTCCCAGCCGCAGCTTGGTCGACTGGGACATCTTTAACTATGTATTGTAGCAGAGGGCTCTGGGGAACAGGCTCCTCACACAGGTCTGGCACCTTTTGGGCTCTCTGCAGGAGGGGCTTTGTGCCTTCAGGGGAGTTAGAAAATACACCTCAGTTTAGGTAATAGGCACACAGCAGTGTGAGGAGCAACCTGCAAGAAAGGGAAAGCCAGGTCACATTAGTCCTTAAAAACAGATCCCAGGAGTTTATACATCTGTTATGCCTTTGAGGATCATTTGTGGGGGAGGAAATGATGGTGTTTTTTACTTTTTGCTTGACAATTGCAGGTGGTAAATGGCTTGAAGCATTTAAAAAGTAGGGATGATTTCGATACCTAAAATTTTACTAAAAGACACAAAAGAGATCTGTGGTGCAAAATAGTTGTCAGGATTTAGAAGATCAGCTCTTTTGCTGCCATAAATTGGGAGCAGGTGGTTGAAGTCAATAATGCTGTGCAGTGTTGCAGGAGATGAGGAACAAATCCAGAGGTTTTTCAGTCTATTAGAAAAGACTACGCGACCTAAACTTAAAAAGAACTTTTTTCCTCTCCTGTCCTGTCCTTGCTTCCTCGCCATCAAATGTTTAGAATAGCAGAACTGAACTCAGAGTTGTCTTTGTGCCAAATTTTAGGGCATCAATATAGTGGAAATCACAATAATAGCCAAAATGTGTTTGTTCTTTAAAAGTTACTTTTGAAACAAGTGAGTTGAGATTATTTACTGTCTGCCTCCATTATTTTAGAGTTTTCAGGAAAACTTCCTTGCTTTGTCTTAGTGTCTGTTGTTAAAGCTGTTACTTATTTCCACTGTTTTTTACTCTTACAAAACAAGGCAAATTATAATTACTTAATGCATGGAAAGAAGTGTAGGTCAGCTCTTGGTGACTGCATTCAAATAGCTCAAGTATTTTGTGTAGAAGTATGGGGACCCCCTTTTCTACAAAGGTTAGTGTTATAGGAAAGTACCTATAAGCAGCTTTTTAATGCTTTGATACCTTATGGTATGGTATAAATTCTGTCTATCCCAGATGTCACCCTTGCATCTCCTGGAATAAGGGACACTCACCAGATATTGGAGCAAGTAAGTCAGGGCTTACATTTCAAGCTGAAGCAAATAACTCTGTAATGTTTGTAACTGGGAATACTGTCTCTTGAAGGACAGTCAGTGTGTTAAAACTGTAAATCATTCCCCAAAGACCTAGAATGTCAAAATTTATTTCACATTAGTAGATAATATTTTTGTTACTTTGGGGCTCAAGGCTGCTGTCAGATGTTAATTAACGTCAGGGGATCAGTACTTGTCCAGTGAGATAACTTGATTGCTTCTGAAGTTCCTCTGAAAAGACATTAAAAAGAAGAAATCTAATGTGAAGCCACCATTTTTTCAGTTGTGTTCACTGTTCCAGTGATACTTTGACTGAAAACTTGCTTTGTTGTTCTTTTTCTGCAGGTAGTTGCCACGTGAAGTTACATTTGTAGGAAACTGAAGGACTTTTTTTGTCATCATCTGTAAGTATCTATCTTCGCAGTAACACTTAAGTGCATCTGTAAACTAGAACTGGTCTTTTTCATGTCCCTACATAATTATTCCTCAAAATTTTATACTGTAGTTTTTTTGTAAGTTTTCCATGCAAATTCTAAAAAAATTGCCCAAGGATAGAGTGTGAGGAGCTTGAATGGAAATTCTGTTATTGTCTACTTGTTTACACTATTGCTTTCATACAGCAGCAATTTTTTTTCCATTTCCTCTGGGTTGTAAGTCAAAAAGGCAGTGCAATACATTTATTTTTCTGCTTTGCCTCTTGGGAGTCTCCCTGAGCAGAGCTGTTACTGCAGCAGTCTTAGTGCGTAAGCTGCAGCGTGAAGATGGTCCTTGAGAATATCTCATGAAGAAAACAGGGTAAGATCTTATCTGTTTCTATCTTTCAGGGTAAAGGAAAAAAAGTTGTTTGGGAATCATACGTCTGGTTAGTGACAGAGTCAGGAACAGAGCACGGGTTTTGTGATCTTCACTTCTCCCTGTAGAGAGGGAGGGCAGGTTAGCTGTGTGCACAGGGGGACTCACAGTATCACTGGAGACATCCAAACTCCAAAGCAATGCAGCCTGGAAAGCCTCTAAATTATTTGGTGGATTTTAGAAGTATCCACAAACTATCCCTGAGAAGGTGTGAGGATGGTGGGTTACTTAAAGCCATGGATGCACAGGAGCAAGGTGGTATTTATGGAGTCCAGGGAGTGATTGCCAGTCTGGGGAGGGGTGATGTGTGCCAGCTGCGCAGAGGGCAGACACTGTAACAGGTTATAGCAGATTTTTGTGTGCATGTTTAGTGCTGTCATGTCTTGGCGTATAAGCCACACCTGTACACAGTTTCAGAACACACTTCACTAATATATACAAAGTGATTTTTGGATGCAACATTCCTCTACACATCACTGTGTTGACAGAGAGGAGTGCTAAACTGTTGCTAGTCTTCCTCTTGGCCTGTCCCTCCCAGAGTACACTATCTGGTGGCAAATACCCTACTAAACTTCAAGGCCCTATGCTGAGATGACAACCAAGTAAAGATTTTTTTACTCTTTTCCCTTTTTTCTTTTTTTTTTTTGACCTTTAACTGATACTTTTCTACTTGAGCTTTTTCTTTTTTTTTTTTTTTTAATCCTAAATTGTTTAATTGGGATTGTTTTATACTTGTAGATTTTCTTGTCTTTTAAGCCTGTGCTTCTCTTAGGTTATCCATGGTATTGAGAGCTGGGGACCATGTGGTTCTCTTGTTGAACTGTGGCAGATATTAATGCCTGAGGTCCTCACAAAACCTGTTCAACGCTCAGTAAATGAAATGTCCCCTGCTCTGTAATACAGTGCTGATGTATGTATAACTTGTTATGCTTTGTGTACTGCCTCTATTATTCAGAAGGGGTAGAAGTACCAAATGGTGCTTTAACTTTCATTGCTGTGTTGCTTCTATTTCTTGAAGGATGGTTGAAATGAGCCTCTGTTGGCATGTGTGCTTCTCTGCCCAGCTCACTTGTGTCAGCACACCTCGCTCAGTCACATTTCTGATGCTCTGTTTGGGTTTTGTTTGCACAGGTTCTGCCCGTCCCTCTGCTGTCCTCTGACAAGATGGTATTTCGGAAACCACCCGATGGTGGCTGGGGCTGGGTGATTGTTCTCGTTTCCTTCTTCACCCAGTTCCTGTGTTACGGATCCCCGCTGGCGGTGGGAGTCTTGTATTTAGAGTGGCTGGATGCCTTCGGAGAAGGGAAAGGCAAGACTGCTTGGGTTGGATCCCTAGCAAATGGAATCGGATTGCTTGCCAGTAAGTGTAGAAGCAGTATCTGTCTTAAACTGGAACCTTTCCAATAGATGCTTTCTCCTGTGTGTGCTTTTGGAATTGTGTCAAAGGCACCTGCACATGATAGAATGAGGATGCTGCATTTTTGTTTTGGGTCAAGGTGGGTAAGGAGGTTACATTTACGGTTCTGCTATGCATAAACCAAAGCAACATAATGGTAAGAGAGCAATAAAAATATTCCCCTTTAAAAATTAAAAATTTTTGTATTTGAATAAACTAGAAAAACCAAACTTTGGGAAAGATAATTTTGTTGGTGGGATTTCTTTTTTTTTTTTTAATGAGGCTTTAATACTAACATTAGAATTACTATTTTAAAATCAGAACAAACTGATAGTCTGAAATTGTTCAAGTGCTTTATGAAAAAAAGTCAATTAATAAATCAGTTACTAATTTTTCAGTTCTAGAGGTAAACCCACCATTTAGGGTGGGTGAGGGCTCCTTTCTACTGTCTCTTTGAGAAAAAACTCCCTTTGAACCCTGGAAAGTTATGGGTAGCATTAAAAAAACAACTTCACTGGAAGCTTTTCTTTAATAAGATGTTGTCAGTTGGGGAATAAGAGCAATGTTTTAGGGAAATAAAACACCACCATTAAATTCTGTAGGTCCAGTTTGTTGTTTTAATATCGAGCACAAATGTTGTACTGGGTCATATCACTAACTTCTGCTTTTCAAGGATTCACCATGGGAACTATTATCATTTTGCTGAATCTGGAAAAAATTGCCTGTGAGCAGAGCAACTGCTATGGGCAAAAGCAATTACGTAGCTTAGCGGGCAAAATGCAGCTCAAGTTTCCGAGGACTATCTCCTTAAAAGAAATTTGATGTTCAGATAAAGACCTGAAAGAAGACCACTGCTTTGTGTGACACTGCAACTGGCCAAATATTGGTGTCACATTTGTTAGGGTTTATGTCACTAGGCAGAACAGGAACATGCAATGGCAGGTGGATCATTAACCACAAGAAGCCTATATTCAGTCTCAGGGTATAAGTAGGTAAAGCACTGTGGACTGCTCTTCCATCATGCTTTTTTATTTTTCTGTTTTAAGGGCATTAACTCCCATTATTAGTGCATCAAGACCTAAATAAACCTTGAGTGAGAGAGTGAAGTGGGAGGAAAATAAGGATAAACAGGGTAATTACTGAAGAAAAAAGTAGGCATGAAGGAACTGCAAGAGAAGGTGTGAAGAAAAACCCTCTCCCAGGACACCAGAAATCTGTGGCTCTGATAAGAGCCTCAGCCCCCTTTGCTGTATGTCAGCACTGTGTTTCCAGATTTGTTACTGCTCTCTGTCTTACTACTGTGAGCAACTGTCAGTAGTGTGCTTTGTAGCTGGGTTGGGCTGGGGTAAGAGTTAATATTCTTGGTGGCTGGTATGGGGCTGTGTTTTGGATTTGTGCTGAACACAGGGTTGATAACATAGAGATGTTTTTGTCATTGCTGGGCAGGGCTTACCCAGATCCAAGGCCTTTTTTTACTGCTCATACTGCCACGTTTGGGGTGCATGGGGAAGTTGGGAGGAGACATAGCCAGGAGAGGTGACCAAAGGGATGTTCCAGACCATAGGACGTCACGCTCAGTGTATGAAGTGGGGTGAAGAAGGGGGGATGTTTGGAGAGGTGGTGTTTGCTTTGCCAAGTAACTGTTATGTGTGACGGGGCCCTGCACTCCTGGGCACGGCTGAACACCTGCTGCCCCTGGGAGGCACGGAATTCATTCCTCGTTTTGCTTGTGTGGCTTTTGCTGTATTTCAACCCACGAGTTTTCCAGCTTTTACCCTTCCAGTTCTCTCCCCATTCCTGCTGGTGGGAGCGAGCGGCTGCCTGGTCTTGGCTGCTGGCTGGGATTAAACCATGACAGCAGCAAATAGGAACTTCTGTGACTGAGTAATACAAATCAAAGGTGCCTTTGTAGCTGATTTTGGTATGGAATGATTAAATGAAATTTTGGCAGGTTAGGAGGAATGGTGTCTGTCCATGTGCTTTTATTCTTCCAGTTTGGCATTTGGAAGCTTAATAATCATTCCTACTTCTAATGCCTTTAAAAAAAAGTACAGTGAGGGCCTTTTAATTGCATTGATGTTATCACTGTTGGCTGAAAGCAAAATATATGTTCCCAGCTTTACCTCAAATGGAAGATCCCAGTGTCTTATCAAGCTGGGATATGATCTTGATGACAAATCTACTTTAAGTAAACTTGTTGAAGGGGCAATGTAAGTGTTGTAACCTCTTCCTAAAACTAGAATGCTTTTGACAAGCTACAATTTTTCATATAGATTTCATTGCAGGCCTTTTTCAGACCAGTCACTAGTCACGAGTGTAAATATCATTGTGTTTTCAGAGCAAAATCCAACCTGGCCTTGAACACTTCCAGGGATGGGCAGCCACAGCTTCTCTGGGCAACTTTCTCTTCTAGTGTTTGTTGATTGGTTCCTTTCTCCACCTTTATTTTGGTGTCCAGTCTCTGATCTAGTTATCTAAAGACATTTTCAAGTGTCGATACTATTAAAGCGATTCATGTTGCGTGCAGAAAATACTGTAATGGTCATTTGATTAAGAACATGCTTATTTGCTTAGTGCATTCTCCATCTCAAAACTTTTCCTCAGTAATCAATTTCCTCCTTGAAAGTATACAAACTTACGATACAAGTTGCTTAGTTTTAGTTCTCAGCTGATGAATAATGTTATTTTCTATTTTCAAGTGGTATATTTTGAAGTACCCCTGGATTAGTTGATGGACGTCTACAAAATATAATCAAACTACTTCTAAATTTTCTTTAAAGCCTGTACATTGATACAGTCTTTTTACCATTGACACAAAAGACTCCAACACTTTTAATTAAGGCTTTTCTGGAGAGCCATTGACTCCTCTGTGAGCTCTCTTCAACTTAACATCACCTTTCTGAAGCTGTGGGTGCCAGACTGGAATAAGAATGGCAGTTATGGTGGATTTGCAGCTGCAGGCAGGAAATGAGTGAGTGTCCATTTTCTTAGGAAGACTTTTGTCATTGGTACCACCAGCAATCACATTCATTAGTTGGCTTCTGTAACAGAAAGATAGGTCCAGTGACTCTGCTGTATTAGTACTGTAATTTCACCAAGAAGAGGATGACATGTATGGCATCTGGCACAGAAAAAGACTCTGTGTGTCTCCCCCCTTCCCTCTGTACATGTAGTCCTAAACTTTTTTTTTAAGCAGCTGATGCTGGTGAGCCCTTTCACGTTTGCTGTGTTGGTATCCTTTCTAAAATGTTTACTTCTGACTTGTGTGAGAGCTAAACTTAGACTGGAGACATAGAAACCCAGTACAGCACCTTGTTTATTGGGATGAGTTTCCTGACCGCCTGGTGTTCGATTTCTGTCCTTTTGCTCACAGCACAGGCAGCGTTGCTATGGCCCTGTTCAGTGTTCAGCCCTGAGCACCCCGTCAGATGGAAAAAGGGAACAGGACAGGGACCTGGTTGATCTGTTCCTTGCAGGATGACTTGGGTTATAACTTTTTGTGACACGACCTGAGGCACATTGGAAGAAATGTGCCTAAAACAGTGAAAGAAAAGCATCAGTGTTATTGTACAGGGCAGAGGTGAGATCTCCTCTACCGAGTGAGGTGTTATAACCTTGATCAGGCCACGGTAGATGTGGCACTTGGCTCCAGGGCTTGTTGCATACGAAGAAATTGGAAAAGCTTGGTAGGTTTCCCCTACTAAAATAGGCCAGAGGAGGATATTTATGTACCTTCTTGAAGATTATGTGTTTCTTCTGCACCAAGTGTTCTTAATTTTACATCCATTTGGAGCCCGAAATTGAATTTGATCCATGTTAACACTTGTTAAAAGCAAAACAGACGAAGACCTTGGCGCCTGTAATTGGCACCACAGCTGTTTATAGTAAGAGTTGACTTCACAGTGTTTGGCATAGGAGGACAAATCAGCAATGACTCCCATTCCTTCTTCCCTTCAGTAACGGAGAAAGAACAAAGGGAAGATTCTCTCTTGAGAGGTATGTCTTGATAATTTGGTGGGGTGTTTCTGCTGATCTGAGGGATTCAGTGTTAAAGGTTTAAAGAGCTTAATTATGGGTTTTCAAGCAACAATTTTACAATCCTAAAACCACCTTTACAGCATCTACTTATTTTTGGACAAAACCCTCACACATACATACCCCATTGTAAAGTATGGAAACTGTACATAGTTTTTGTGGAGGGGAGAGGGCACCCCAAAGATTCCTCTGAAAAGGAACCCAGTTCATAGAATAACTTTATTGGAAAGGAACAGTCTTTCCAATCAGTGGGGTGTGGGTTGCTATCCAGTGTAAAAAGCTTTTTTTCTCATCTGTATTCATATCCAGACTACAAACATTTGGAGCATATTATATTTATTATAACCAGGTTTTAAAAATGCACTTAATATGCAAAACTATTCTTGTGCTCTGTCCAGTGGATTTTACGTGCAGTCCATGAGCGTTGCTTCTACTCCACAGTTTCAACAGGCTCGGACAGACACCAACAGGAGGGTGGGTCAGATTAATAGAGGTGATAAGTAAAAGAACTCAGCTGTCCAATATTGTTTGTTTAGCAAAAGGTTTTGTGTGTGTATGAGGTGAAGGAGGGAGGACCCTCGAGATGAGCAAGTGGAGGATGGGAGTGATGGTTTGCAGATTTTTTTTTTTTCCTCTTCTTGTGAAAATACTGAGGAAGAGAGTGCTAGTTCTTGATGTCCATAAAACAAACCAACTTTGCACTTGTCAGGGGGTCAGCAGATTGTGGTAGTTATTGAGGTTCCTCTGTGAGCAGCAGATGGCTTGTTTTCATGTCTCAGGAAGGACTCACTGTCACTCCCAGGTCTCACTGAGGGTAAAGTCTTTTACTCAAAATAATAAAAATATCAATGTACAAAATGAATACTTCTAGGTGCTCTCCCTCTTTGGTCTCTCTGCATTAAGATCTACTGTGAAATCCCATATTCTTTCTGCTGCTGCTTCCCATTTTGTCTAGGGATCTTCTCGACTGCTCCCCTGCAGAGCCTGATAATTGTGTCACTGGCTGCTGAGCTGTGACAGGTCATGTCAGAGGAGCAGTGCTGGCTGCTGAGTCTTTCCTCCTAGAGTTGGCTGTCATTCTTATAAACTGAGCTGGTATCTTTTTTTGATAGAGTTTGGTCTAGTCTTAAGATGCATCATTTGGAAAGGAAAAAGCCCCAGGGATTTTATTTGTAAAAGAGGTAAATATTTATCAGTGTCTTCAAATATTATTCTAATTCCAGTACTAACCCCTGGAGTTGTTGGCAAACTGAACAAAATGTTGGCTTAAAAGCTATTTTTCATGCTTACTATTGAGGATTGCCACTGGGATTTTATTTTTATGGTGTTCACATTATGGTGAGAAAGGGTCTTTCTGAAAGAGAGTCAGCCAATGAAAACCCTTATGCTGCCTGAAGAGCTGTTTCCTATGTGGCTGCACACAAACTCCTGCATTCTTCAGAACATCCACTTAGAACAAAATCCACGGGTCGGGAGTTCACAGAGCAAGTCTCAGTCCCGCTCTGGGAAAGTTGGATTTTCACTAGAATTAACTGCCTTGAACCCATTGTGCTTCAATTACTTGTAAAGAATAACATGTTTGTGTACAGTGAACTCCTGTGCAAATGCCATGGTAATAACTGAAGGTACTGTGCCTGGTGGAAATAAGAATGCCAGCTCTTTGGGAAAGGGAGAAAGGGAAGGAATGCGAGGAGGCAGGGTAAAGAACAAAGATGCTGGCTGTCATGGGGCTTTTCTTTTGTGACTTTTATTTTCTGGCAGTGTGATGAGGGGAGTGAGAAGTAGAGCCCAGCGTGAAGGAGAAGATGGAGCTGTTTTTCTTCTCAACCCAGTGAAGAGTATAACCCAGAAAAGAATAATAACTATTTTAATACTTATACTGGCACTCCTTCTTATAAACAGGGCCATTGCTGGGCTGCCAGATCTCTTGCTGTGTGAGATGGCAGATTAATACTGAGCTTATTGGAGCAGGTTCTTCAGTTTTGTGCAGGTTGTTTTCCATATTGGAGAGAGTAGGTCTCTTTGTACTTTTTGTTCTCCTTTGGGATTGGTTTTTTTAAGTGGGAGAAGCTGGAAGAGCATCTCCTTGGACCTTGTCAGGGATGCTTTTGATTGTGTTCCAGTGGAGAATGTCCTTGTCAGGACACAAAGACATGTTTTTCAGCTTTGTGTCTCTCTTCTTCTGCCTTGAGGTCAGATGGTCCAGTTTTGCCTTGGATCAGTGAGGTCTGTACCAGTACCACCACCCCAGGCTGGACAGAGACCTTCTGAAAGTAGCTGTTTCAAAATATAGAGGGCAGGTAGAAGGGAAATACTGTTTGCTTTAACAAGGTAGTGAGTCAGAAATAAAGAATAGAAAGAGTGCAAATTCCCCTGCTTAATTGAATTATATTATCACTACCTGATGTTTTTTTACTGTAGAAGAATTCTTATATAATACAGAGTCAATCCTTTGTTTATTTTTAAATCCTGTGGTTTTAGGAAACATACCAACCTTAATTTGCCAGTTCTAGCAATTAATTCTAAGAATCAGCAACAATCTAACACTCTCAGCTTTTGTTCTCAGCAAGTTACTCTGCCCAAGTTACACTGGCCAGCTTTCATTCCCACAGCGTGCTGACTCTTGAGTAGCAGCAAGTGCTTGCATCTTCCTTTTTCATAGTTCCCAAAATCCAAATAAACCCTCCTTCCCCAGAACATTTTCTGGGGACTCTTTGCCTGGATAAGCCCCAATTCAGACTCGCTCCCCTTTGCGTTCCCTAGGCAGAAGCTTTTATGTAGGGCGAAGTTCTGACCTGCCTTGCCTTTGAGGCTCGTTTCACCTGCTAACGAATCTGTGCCCCTGCCTGCCAGAACTGCTTGTCCTGTGGACGGTAACCACAGGAAAACCTTGCCTGCATTCCCAGCTGCTCGCTCCCATCTGCAGACCTAGGCAAGCACCGTCCTCAGCTCCAACTGGTGTTTACCTCCTATCACCTCTCTGGGCTCACCTCCCATCAGCTGGGAATGTCAGCCACGTGTGAGTCAGGGAGCACTGACCTGAGCCCATGGCACACTCCAAAATCACTGCTCTTGTGGATTGTATCGCACATGGAGTGTCTCTGTATCGATGCAAAGGGGTTGAGGTGGTGTTGTTTGTTTGTTTGCAGTAGTGTCGATCATCTGTGTATCTGACTTCTAATCTCAGAGTTGCTGAGTTTAGGATCCTGGGGCTAATATATAAGTTTATTTATGAATGCTTGGAACTGCAGGGCTTCAGATAGATTGTCTTTTGCAAGCCAAGTCCCTTGCTGGTTGCTTATTTATGCAGGGCACCAAACTTGCATGCTACTTAAGACTAAAAGGTGTATTCCAGGTCACACAACTGAAAATAAGAGCTTGTTCTACAATTTCTGTGAGGAGAGAACTGGCTGAGTAGAGGCAGGGTACAAATTCTGCCTTTGTTCTTATTTTCGAGAACTAAACAACCTAGAAATATTGGGGGGTAAAGAGAGGGAGAAACCTCCTCCAAATTTCGTGAATGTTGCCCTGGATGTTCTCAAGAAGTGCCTTTTATTTTCTGTAGTTTTACAATTGAAACCAAGATAGGTAGTAAAGAGTTATTTGGTAGAATACTGACTAGCAGGTATTTGATTTCCTCAAAAATCAGGGAAGAGTACTGTTTGTCTTTATCTATTTATCAACAGCTATTTCCTCTGTGTAAGCACCAGATGGCATTCTTACTGTGATTATGATCAGAAGTTACTATTTTTCCATTTCAGTTTTATAAATGTAATATCAGGATGAAACCAGATAGTGCCTTTCTGAAGCACAGTTTTGGGGCTGATGGTCTATCTTGCTTTGGTATCCCCGGATGAAGATTCCTTTCAGAGCCTTTGAACAAGTCCTTAGGTGTGTAGTGACGGTGTTACAGTTCAGTAATATATCCATCATCCCATGTTTAAGGAATGTTTTGCTCACTCCTTCCCTCCTAGCCCTGGTTCCCTCTCGTGGTTTTGATATCAGTTTCTCCTTGTGCAAAAATCTGGCAAGCCTGACCTGTAATGTTTTTATAACCGACTGTTTCAAAGAACCATGTAAAAATTAGTATTCTGAATTGTTATTTAATATAACTCTATACTTAAATAATCATCATAAGAAACATTTCCACAGACTGACGTTTCAGAAGTTCTTCCTGGTGCTGGTATTTACTAGGAATGTTTTTCCTGCTTTTCCTCCAGGTCCTGTCTGCAGTATATGTGTATCATCTTTTGGAGCAAGACCAGTAGCTATCTTCAGTGGCTTTATGGTGGCCGGGGGCCTCATGATGAGCAGTTTTGCACCTAACATATACTTTCTATATGTTTCATATGGGATAGTTGTTGGTAAGAAACGCCTTCTCTTCAATGTTGAGACTCGGTTATTTTGAGTCTCGGTTTATGAATATGAAAGGGGAAACTGATTCACAGAGGTAGTGGTAGTCTGGTACTTGATTTATCAAGGAGTACTTTTGGGCAGGGAGGGATGTTGCACAGGCAGGCTGTTACCATGTAGTGAAAGATGAAAACACTGTACACATTCATCAAGGTTTGCAAACAGGTGGTCCTCTGTTGACACAATTGTGAAGAGATGGAGAAGCTGAGGTTTTACCTAAGGGCTGGAATCAAGCAGGTCTTCTGCAGGTGTTGTGAAGGAAGTGCCAGTCTTAAAGGAATAACATATCCTCTAGATTCTGTCATGTACTCATTCTAATTTGATAAATTAGAGATCATTAGGGAGCAAGATTGTTCTCCACATAATTGGATTGAACCTAAAATGCTGTGCTAGAGGCATGAAAGTGCTGTTCTCCTAGCAGGTGGTGACCTGCCCCTCTCTGCTGCAGAGGGCTGCTGCGGATGGCTGATCAAATTAACTGTGTCAGGAATTTGGGCACTTCTCTGGCCAGCAGGGACCCAGCGTGGTGCTGACTGGGCACGGTGCCCGTGGATGGAGCTCTGCTGAGTTCTGAGGCCACCCCATGGGCTGAAAGCCTTGTAACCTTCCATACAGCACAGAACCCCAAACCCAGCCTGCTCCACACAGGTTCAGCAGCCAGGGATGCTCAGGGGGAGGGAGGTGGGACAGCAGTAGACAGGTGGTGCAGCAGCGTAGTCACCCTGTCAGTGGGAGGCTGGTGTGGCTGGTGCTGAGCCAGAGTTAAGAGGTGCCTCTGCTCCCAGGGTACACTGCTGTATTACCTGAGGAATAACAAGGGGCACTGCTTCCCAGAGGACGTGGCATGCTTTATATCTAACTCTCTTTCTCAAGGTCTTGGATGCGGCCTTTTGTACACTGCAACAGTTACCATCACTTGCCAGTATTTTGACAAACGCAGAGGCCTTGCACTTGGTCTGATTTCAACAGGTATGGCTTTTAATTGTCATTCTCTCTGACTTTTCAACCCTGATACAGCTACTGTTACCTAGGCAATAAAAACCAGGGGATTATATTTTTCTCATTTACTTCCTCAAGTACTTCTTAAGTCAAAACATCAGTAATAATGAAGAGATAAATTCAGGCTTCAGATAAAATAGTAACCACACTTGCAGGTGTATGCTGTGAGTTATCCATACAGATGAGAAAAGGATATTCACTCAAACAAAAGCAGACTCATGCATAGCTTGGGCTGCATACCATGGATAATAAGAAGGGAAGTGTTCCATAGAGCTCTTCTTACACAAGATCAGAGGTGAGAAAGAGATTGGAGATGCAGGGTATAAATACTGGATCACCATAACCTCACATTAGCTGCAACTTTAAAGGAGTAGTTGAAATTTGGGCTTACATTTGTCATAATTTTTTCCTTTCCAGTCAAAAAGAAACTAAATTTTGAAGTAATTCCAAATGCTCATCCCAGCTTTTTTAATCCATGTATGTTAAAGTGATCCTAGAAAAATGAACCTCTGATAATACAAGGAAAATTCTTTTGAGGATACTGAGCAGTCTTTCTTACCCTCTATCTGGGCCTTTAGCTTGTGTGATGTTGTCCCATACACCAAGAAGAATTAATGGACTGAGCAGGAAGTGTTGAAGACAGCTGTTGTCCCATGCCTTGCTTTCTGGATTGTATGGAGTCTCTCCTCTGATCTGTAGTCTGTCAGTGAGGAGAGGCATGGTCAGTACAGTCAGAGTTGTGAGACACTGATACTGGACCCACACCATAGAGATATATATATATATATATATAAGAGAATATGAGGGAACATCTGCAGAAATGTTTCCTGGCATCATTTTCTGGGGTTTTTGTTAGGATTCCAGGTAGTTTGCCTTAAAATCTGATCTTATTGAGCCCTGGTTAATTTTAGTACCTGGAAAACAAAACAAGTATAAATTTTGTAATTATTTTTTCCTGTGTTTAGCACCAAAGTATATAAATGGCTTTAATATAACTTAGAGAGAGTCTTCAGCAAATCATTTTAAATCATTGTTTCTGACGTGCCTGTGAGTGCTAATTGACGTAAATGGTTCAGATTTTTGTGGATGCTCAGTAAAGAAACTGTAACTTCAAGTGGGATGATGACTTACCAGTTCATTGGACAGAGCAGAGGAGCACAAGTGACTTACCATTCCTGTGACAGTGTATTCGTAGCTGCTAAATTGTCTGAGTTTGTTAGTGTTGATGAGTGTTCTCAGTTTTTCAGTTAAAACTGATCTTATTTTCCTCTTATAGGCTCAAGTGTTGGACACTTCATATATGCACCATTGCAAAGAGAGCTTATTGAGCTATATGGACTGGATGGTTGTCTGCTAATAGTTGGTGCTCTGTCTCTAAATATATTAGCATGTGGCAGCCTAATGAGACCACTGGAGTCATCGGGTTCTCCTCCACCAGAAAAACCATGTGTAGACAAAGTCCCAGATCAATATTTTGTTTACCATGAAAAAGAAAAGACTGTTGAAGAAAATATAAGCATCCTTGAAAAGGGCTACACTGATGAAAAATGTGTGAACAATGTGCCTGACTGCAAACAGGATAGCATTTTAAATAAGAATGTATTGAGCTCAATAAATGTAAATGAGAAAGACACTTATAAAAAGAAAGTTGTAGAACAGACAAACTTCTGCAAGCAACTTGCCAAAAGGAAGTGGCAGCTCTATTTGACCTACTGGAAGGAAACCGTGGTTCTTTTCAAAAACAAAGTATTTTCAGCTCTCTTTGTTGCCATCTTGCTCTTTGATATTGGTGGATTTCCTCCTTCTCTGCTCATGGAAGATGTAGCAAGAAGTGCAAACATTAATGAAGATGACTATTATATACCCCTCATTTCCATTATCGGCATTATGACTACTGTTGGCAAACTTATTTTAGGAATACTGGCAGATTTCAAGTGGGTCAACACTTTATATCTATATGTAACTACCTTATTAATGACAGGAGTGGCCTTGTTTGCAATTCCATTTGCCAAAAGTTACCTTATATTAGCAATGCTTTCTGGGATTTTGGGTTTTCTGACTGGGAACTGGTCAATATTTCCGTATGTAACAACGAAGACTGTGGGAATTGAGAAACTGACTCACGCCTATGGGATACTGATGTTCTTCGCTGGACTTGGAAACAGCCTCGGACCACCAATTGTAGGTAAGGTCAAGGTAGATAGTATAAACTGGAGGTGAGCTGGCCCAGACCAGACAGAATTAATTTGCATGTGAGTAGTTCTGCCTGGTCCTAATAATAATGGAAAGGTGAAATCAGAAAATCTTCAACAAAAATCAGAGCCTGTCTTGCTTGAGCTGGCCAGCTGATTGAGTGCTTGTTTAGGCTTTGGTGAAAAGCACAATTCGTGTCTAAGTGGTCAGACTGTTATAAGTTTGTCTTATTTTATTTTTCTGTGGTGTGTCTCTAACTTAACAGTGCTGTGTTACACTGAACTCCTCACTGATGCGCTTCTCTCTTATTTCCACCCCCAGGTTGGTTTTACGACTGGACGCAGGAGTACGACACTGCGTTCTATTTCAGTGGCTTTTGTGTCTTACTGGGTGGATTTCTCCTGCTGTTGGCAGCGTTGCCCTGCTGGAATGCCTGCACCAACCAGAGCTCAAAGCTGCCTCCAAATACTTACTCCTACAAAGTTGCATCTAGCGCTTAGGTGACAACTGGAAAACACTTTGCGCCTTTTTATATTATATAGCAAAGTATTTTAGTAATTTTCCACTTATTTATGAAGCCCACAAATCCTCTTCCACTAGAAAAATTCCATTGTTGCTTGTTCTTGTTGTTCAGTTCCTTCTTCTTCTTTTATTTCTTTTTTTTTTTTTAATGTTATTTTTAAAAACAGTCTTATTTTGTCTACCGTGCACCGTGTTTCCAGCCTTTGTCTACTGTAATTTCCTTTTACCCTGTAAGGGGTATGTTCTGCTGTATTATCAGCTGTACTTTTTTTTAAAGGGGGGTGGTATGGAGGGGTGAAAACTTTGAAGCAAAAATGAAGGCCTGTTCCTTATAGGAGAAGGTTGGCATTTCTGTTACCTTTCTTGGGTCTCCAAGTTGCACAATCAGGCTTTACAAAACAAAAATCTGCCTTATTAGAATGTAATACTGTGGCGAGGTGCTTTTAACATCATGCTTAGATTAACTTTTTGTCTTTTTAAAGTTTCTGCAATTTACAATGAAGTGCCAATTGCAGGAGGGAGAAGAGGGGAAACAAATCAACCTTATGTTGTGTAACTGAAGTGAACATTTTGATGAAAGTAAAGATTCTTACTACCACTACAACTAAGAACTGCGTTTATAAATATTGCACATTTTGTGAAGTCTGTTTATAAAACTGTTGAACGAAAACGTTTTAAACCAAGGAATAAATATGATTGTTGAAACCATGAAAAGAAATTCTGGCTTGGTTATGAAAATTTGTAATCTTTAGACCAAAGTTGGGGATGTGCTCACAGAAGCCCACAGGTGAGTGTTCCTAAGTAAGTCACCCATGGTCTGGAGGTACTAGGGGCCTCTCTAGTTGCACAACCACAGTTTACTGGGTTGAATTCAAGTTTACTGGGTGAAGAAAACCTCTCTAGCTGCAACCTACCCCTGTGTGTGTGCTGGCTTTGTGCTGGCGTGACTGGGGGAACACTCTGTGATGTTGAAGCCTTTCCAGGTGCTGCTGCAAAGGCAGGATGACTCTGGTAGCTCTGCACTGCCCCGTGTGCCCTGTGCAATAGCTTTTGCTTACATAGCTGCTCCTGTGCCAAGGATGGGTCTGGCTGCTCTTGCGCAGCAGTCACAGAAATCTCTCCTTGGGTGGCACGTCCTGTGCACTTTGGCTCCTTGCTCTGGATTTAAAGTTTAGTGGGGCATGTTGCAAGCCTTGGGTGAGGTTCAGGTTCTTAGTCCTGAGTTATATCCTGCGTGGTTGCCTGCAAATGCCCAGCTAGTTCTCAGCAGTACTATGGGCCTCAAATTCTAATGTGATTCTGGCTCATAAATAATCCTTGAGGTAAAGCCCAGGCATGTAATGAGCAAACTTTATTGTCAAAGTGCTGTGCACAGTTACTGTGTTTGCACACCTCATTAAGCAAGAGCCATGCAACATCTTAAGTTGGGCAGACCTTAATGCAAGTAATGTTCCCTCTTCTGGTCTAGGGCAGGAAAATCCCGCTTGGCTTTAAACAGTTTTTGCTGGCTTTTTGGGATTCACTTACGTTTGTTTGAATTAAAACTTGACAAAAATAGAGATGCAGTTAGTTTGTCTCTTTATTTTTTTTTTTTTCTTGATTTGTCATCTGGGTGTAATTGCTGTCCTGGATGCTTATTCAGTGCACGTGGAAAAAGTATTGAGTACTCAGTAAAGGCATACACACAACCTCAATTCCAAATTGTAGTCCTGGGTATCTGATGTGGATCATCTTATGTGCTGTATGGCAGCTGTAGTCAGATTTCATCACATATATGTAAAAGCAATACCATGTTTTATGCATCTTAAAAAAACTGCAGTGATATACTGGGTGTAATCAGGGCATATGTGCCTTCAGATTAATCTGTTAAAGTCTCACTTCCTGCCAACAATCCAGTCTGAGTTCTTTAAATATGAAACTGATGTTAAATTAATTGTCACTCTGAAAAAAATTCAGCTGGAATTAATGCTAATGATTGGGTGCTGTGCAGCACACTTTTGCAATGGAAATGGAGTCTATTATTAGGCAGCCTGATATGTTTGGAAATACGACTAGGGTTCTGTAATAGTTTCCTGATGTAACCCTACCCATCACTGAGGAAAGAGCCCTGACTGCTGAAGAATTTTATTTGCCACTGCAGGCAATATGTGTTAGGACTCTCAATGCAGCCATTTGGCTGAGCACTTTGACTGTACTAATCTTATCTTTTATTGATAAACAAACAGGACCCAAGATTTAATGTTTCAGGTTTTTTGCATTTTACTTTTCTAGTTTTGCAGGGTTCCTTTCCAAGAGGACATTTCCAGAGATGCTGCAAATTGTGTATTATCTGAGAGCCTTTCCTTCCTCTGTCTTCCTGGTTCATTCAAATCAGTCTATAGATTCAAATATTTTTTGGAAGGTGGCAGGTGAGGTACAACACGATTATTTGGGCCTCAGTGACCAAAAAGTAGGTCTTTGGCATTGAATAGGGTGTCAGAAGTGGTAGAGGCAGGCAAACAGTTTGCCATGAAGAATTAAATTCTGGATGCTCTTGACTTTTGTAATTCCTGGCAAACAGATCTGGAACAGAAGAAATGAAGTGCTTAAATAATTATTCTTCATTGTAGAAGAAAAAGTTGTTGTTTATTGCATAAATTAATTTGTTACTGTGAAATCAGTCATGAATAGAACATTTATCATCTAATTTGCAGATCTTAAGCAAGTTTATTTTGGTTACTTTTTTGGTAACTAGACAAATGAAACTGCTAAGTTTTATTAGGTTTAAAGGCTATTCTATGCCTTGGTCAATTGATGGGTGTTATCATTAGCTGCAGAAATGGATTACATTCCTTCAGCGGCTGTTAATTTGTCTACATCATGCTGATACTGGATTCCTGCATCCTGTGCTGACATTGAACAATGTGCTGAGCAAGGGCTATAAAAATTGATTGAGATGTTTGCATAGCATTAAACTGACACTGAGGTATTTTTTATTGCAAAGATAATTCACTTCAGGCCTTTAAGGAGGACCTTTCACATATACATGTAGTGAATATGTGGGGCCGAGCATGATATCAGTCAGACTAAAAATGGCAAAATGATAAATGATACAGACATGGGACATATATGCCAAAGGAAGTGGTAAAAGCTGCCCTTCTATGTAAAAAAATTCTCAAATTCAAAGGACTCCTTTCAGTGATGTTTTGCTATAGACTCAATTATGCTGAAGAGCCAAGTTAAAGACTTGTCAGTCTTCTTACAAGAAACAGTCTTTAGAGACTCTTTAGAGAGTATGCTCTCAGATTACCAAAATCCATTTTGCTTTTTTCTTTCTTTTTTTTTTTTTTTTTTTTTTTGGCAAAAGATATTTGTTCTTTTAAATGATGGCTTTTAAAACAATTAAAACAGTTCTTAGGGGCGTGCTCAACTTGAACCATGCTATATCATGTAATGAATTTGTTGCAGGAACTAAATCACAGAATGGTTTGAATTGGAAGGGACCTTGAAAGATCATCTAGTTTAACCCCTCTACCATGACACAGTGATCTCAGGTTTCTTAAAATAGCTGCTCTGTTTCTGGTTTGTTGTTGCTTTCATGGCTCTGTGGGGAAAGCTCGACTCCTTTTTTTGTGTCCTCACTGGTTATGTCCTCACACTCTCAGCAAGAGTATCTTATGTTAGTTTTCTTTAGCGTGTCCATGGTTTTTTACAACTACACTGTTGCTCAGCTATAGCTATCTGTGTTCAATATGTGGAGTATTTCCTTGTTGGGTTTTTCTCATTACTATTAGATCATCACATCAGTCCAAATTGACTTTATTAGTCTTTTATCATTTCATGTTGCCAGAGACTAGAGGCCCAGATATCTGAAATGAGCAATTGCTGAAATTCTTGCTCAGAGCTACACAAAGGGAATAAAATATGACTGGTATGTGTGCAGATTTCTCAACTTCTCTGCCTGCAGATGCTCAAGGCTTCATTTACTGAGGAATGGGAGTCTTGTGCATGTATGAAAAGGAAAAGTGAAGACAGAGCAGGTCCTTTTGCTCTGGGGTCTCCCTGCTATGCTTTCTTGTCTTTGCTCTCCTGTGTCAGGTGCAGCTGTTGTGCCGTGTCTGCTGCAGCTTTGTGAGCAGGCATAAGGTGAGAGGGAGGAGAACACATACCTGGGGTGTGAGGTTCAACATATGGGTACCTCCAGTCTCCTCATTAGTGTGCAAGGAGGAATATCGTGAAGTGCTCAGTTGTTTAACATGGACCACAGGAGTCCTCAAGGGAGCATCCCTGCCCCCGTTCTTTGCTGAGCCCCGGTGCTGCTGCAGAGGGATTGGGCACAGAGAGTCTCCAGGACATTGTTTTGAGCTGGTGTTTTCTGCCAGTGGAAGTGTTTGCTTAAGGCACCCAACAGTGCATCACTGTGGGTGCTTTGTTGTAAAACCCACTCACAGAACCTCTGGAAATGCTTTTTTGTTGTGGTTTTTGTTTTGTTTTGTTTTGTTTTGTTTTATACCAAGATTAGCTTGATGTTTTTGTGGCACAAGCTCTCGTGTAACTGATAGCACAACATGCCTTAGTGCACCACAGCACTGGCTGGGAAGGAGCTTGGAGCAATCCCTTTGTAAGCTGCCTTTGCAGTCATGACCCTGTGAGGTGAGAATGCAGCAAATGCTGTTCCCAGCTGCCTTTGGCTCTGAGCTTAATCTTACTTGGTCATTTAAGCTTGAAAAACCTATTTCTTGTAGCTCAAATTAATGTTTTTTCCCATCACTCTTTCTCTCATTGCAGGCCGAAAAATCACCTGACTAAACTCTTTCCTCCTTTCCCTGTGTCACAGTTGGAAAGTAAACATGTTTTCAGTGATTAACAGCAATAACTAGATGCTGCTGAGTAAGTAGATGAATACCTACATGGACATTTATGTTTTGTAAATGTCCAGTACTCTGACCAACTCCGTATTTACAGATCATATCTAACTTGTGTGGGTTTTTGTGGTTACAACTTTAAAATTTGATATATGGCAGGCATATCAGGTTGTATTAGGTCACGCTGTCTTCTGTTGAAATCACATTACTTTGCTTTTTAAAATGTCCCTGGGTTGGAGTGGCTGTCTCCCTGCTTTGCAGTTCTTAGGGGGCCATCTTTGCAAATCAGGATAACCGAAATCACATGGCATGTCTTGAATTACAATAAATGCTGTGTGTGAGGTTATGCAAGAGATCACAAAAATGCTTAGTTAAATAATATTTGCTTCAAATTAAACAGTCATGTGGAGGTGCTGTGAGGAAGTAAGGGATAGAAGAGGACGTTTATGAGACTAGGCTTGACAACGTGGTGTCTCCCTGGTGTATCCATTATAGGTAACAATTAAGTAGTCACTGTTCCGAGTGTGTGAATAACAATTTTGTCTAGCAAAAAGATTCCTGGGAGAGAGAGAGAGATACTCCCACTGAAAGTACCATTACCTTGTTGCTTTAGAAACGGGAGACCTGAATTTGCATATGACAGACTGAATTACTGAACCCGGGGTTTCATCGTCTCACCTGGAACCACAAAGGCTTGATGGAGATGCCTCTGCCATCTTGGTTCCTCTGGAGGGAAGGAAGATCTCCTGTTCAAGGGTTTTCCACCT